AGACGGCGCCCGGGGTTAGCCGGCCGCTGCGAAGGGGCCTGCGCCGGCCGCGACCGTGAAGGCGCTGCGGTGGCTGTGGGGAGCGCGGCGCTGCTCTAGGGTTCGGGTGGCCGGGAAGCGACGGGATGGCTGCGGCCGGAGGCGGGGCGGCGGCGGGCCGAGCCTACTCGTTCAAGGTGGTGCTGCTGGGGGAAGGCTGCGTGGGGAAGACGTCGCTGGTGCTGCGCTACTGCGAGAACAAGTTCAACGACAAGCACATCACCACTTTGCAGGTGCGGGCCCCATAGAACGGGAGGTGGCGGCTCGGGGCCCCTGCTCCTCCGGGGCTGCCATGGTCCCCTGGATTTGGGTTCACACCTCCGCCTTCGAATTGCCTTTCCAAATTCGCCCCGGGGACACGCGGGGTCGGGGCAGCCTGTAGACGTCAGGACTGGCTGTCGGAGGGCCGTGAAAAGTCCCCGGGGCCCCCGCCTGCGCATGTGGTGGAGTCCCCATTATTGGGCTGGTTTTTCCCCTTCGTTTTACTTCCGCTTGGGCCTTAGGTGCTTTCATCCTACAGTCACCGAATGTCATCCCCGCCTTTTTTTTTTTTTCTCCTTTTTTGCGGAATTAGGAACTTAGCTGCGAATTTGATTTTGCGAACTAGGTGATTTGTAACTTAAGCTCTTACTGATGACTAAGAGTTTATGCAAGTTCAATTTTGTCCTGTCTTCGACTAACGTGCCGATTGGCAAAACATTCATCTCTAGAGGGATTTTGAAATGACCGCTTGCTGGTGTGGGTTACGCAGTTTCATTGCTGCCTGCGTGGTACTGACTTGTGGGTCAGTCATACTCTGCGAGGTCGGTCGACCCACATTCACATGGAAACGTCATGTGAATGCTGTTTATTTTCTTCGCTGTAATAGCCAGCTTTCTTCTGCAATTACATTGTGGTTGCTCAGAAAAGTGTTAGAATGTAATCATTTACTGAGAGGGAAACCAGTCCTTTGAGCCCATTGTAGTCAGTCTCCCCTCTCCCCTAAGGAAATCAGGCTGCACGTGTTAGAAGAAAAATAACCAACTAATCTGGCTTGATCATTGTAGTCAGAGCCGGTAAACTCTAGTGGACTTTTGAACTTGATTGACTAGGTTAATATCCCACCTCATCCATTTAACTAGATGTGATCCTGGGCAAGTTAATCTCTTTGTCTAAGTTTCTTCATCTGTTAAAATGGTCATAATATTAATATCTGTGTAGCTCATAGAGTTGTCAGGACAAATATACATAAAAGCGCTTAGGTCCTGGGCCAGTGTAAGCTCTTCATCTTTATTTTACTGCTCCAGATTGCACAATAGATCTTAATTAATGATTGTGGAGTGTGTAAGAACATGAACACTATTAATAGAATTCACAGTGTTCTAATTGTTGTGACATTTGATGCTTGATGCTATTATTAAACTATCAAGTCTAGAAATTACAAAGATGCTCCAGTTCTAATTCCATGTTCTATTTTTACTCTTATGTAAAGCCATAATAGTATCTGAAAAAGTTCATGTCAGGAAACTCCCTTTTTTCCTTTACATCCTTGTACAAGACCACTTATACAATTTTAATGGTGAATCGTTATTGTTGAGTGCTACTAGTGAGATTTGTAGGATAAATACATTTCTATGATCATTTGGAAGTTTTAAAAACAATAGCTAACATATGGTTTTTGTTTTTTTGTTTTTTAAATCAGGCCTTCAAAATCTTTATGCTTACATATAATGCCTGTGAAGGCATGTATCTTTTAAAAAAAAATAGCTTTATTGATTTTTAGAGGGGGGGGGAGAGAAAGAGAGAGAGAGGAACATCGGCAGCCTCCTGCACCCCCTCCCACCAGGGATTGAACTGTCAATGCAACCTCCCAGTGCATAGGACCATGCCCAACCAATAGCCAGGGCTTGAGTTCTTAATATGCTGAATACTTTACTTTTCTTCTGTAATATCATTCTTGTAACAGCCTATGAGGTGGATAGTTTTGTTAACCCCCTTTTACAGGTGAGGAAACAGGTTTGGTTAAGTTGAGTAATTTGCTGCTGGTCATTATATTGCCACAAGTCATGAAATTTGAAACCCAGATCTGACTTCAGATTTTGAGCAGTTAAGTCACACCATCTCTGGATATTGGTAAACCACCCCTTTAGTGGTTTTCTTTATGCTGCAAATCTAAGATAAAAAGGAAAACCATTGTAATTGAGCCCTCAATTTAAAAAAAGGATAATTTAGCCCTTCAACCTAAAACTTACACTTTCCTTATACATTCCAAAACCACCCTTGAAGCTAAAAGCAGGCTAAAGATTTTTAAGTATCTGAGAAAAACCACTGCTGGAGACTGTCCATAGTAGGTCCGCTCACATACAGCTCAACTGCAGGAAGAGGTCTTAGGAGCCCCACCCACGTGCAGGCACATTCTCCTTAGCAAGTCCCAGGAATCCACAGTGTCCTGTAGACAGTGCCTGCAGGAGGACGGATCATGGTAGATCTCCAGTATCAAGCATAGCGGTCCTGACTTCGATGTTTGTAGAGCCCTCATCACAACAGTATCTGCATTATATTACTGAATTGAGGATTTTGTTGTATGTCAATGTGTGGAAATTGTATTATATCTAATCTCTTTTTCTTACATATCAATTTATGTCATCTCATCTTAATTTTTTCAGAGAAATTTGACTTCAGTGTGATCCATAAAACACATCCTTGTATGCTTTTTATTTATTTAAATATATTTTTATTGATTTCAGAGAGAGGAAGGGAGTGGAAGAGAGAGATAAAACCTTAAGTGATAAGAGAGAGTTACTGATTGGCTGCCTCCTTCATGTCCCCTACTGGGGATCGAGCTCACAACCCAGGCGTGTGCGCTGACCGAGAACCGAACTGTCATGTCCTGGATCCTAGGTCCATGCTCAGCCGCTGAGCCCCGCTGGCTGGGCCATCCTTGTATGCTTTTAATTTCCTAATGGAGGGATCATGCATTAATAGATACGACAGGAAGTTCCCCTTTTTCTTGTCAACAAAACTACTTACTACCTATATTTGTAAAATACTTTGTGTTTTGCAGAGTACACTCTCATCATTTGTATTTCAAAGAATTATGGAACTGAGAGGAACCTAAGATACTTTATGGTTCTCTGTTTCAGTCTTTTTTAAATATTTCAGTCAAGTGATTGTCCACTTTTGTCTTAGAGGTGTGAGCTGATACAGAAAGTGGAAAACTATGCCCTGAGGGTAACTTTCATTTTTTAGACAGGTCTAATTTCCAGTAAGTTTTGTAAAAGCCAAATCTGTTTCCTTGTAGTTTCCAGTCCTAGTTCTGCCACCGCATCTTGGTTGCACATGACTCTTCTTTTGATAGTTGAAGATTGCTATCACATCCTGAGTCTTATCTTCTTTTGGATAAACAGCTCTGGTTCCTTTAACTGGATATCCTATGATGCTGTTCTAAATCATTTCACTTTTTTTTAAAGACTTTTTTTTAAATTTTTTGATTTCAGAGAGAGGAAGGGAGAAGGAGGGAGGGAGGGAAAGAGGGAGAGAGGGAAACATCAATGATGAGAGAGAGTTATTGATTGGCTGCCTCCTGCACACCCCCCACTGGGGATCAAACCAGCCACCTGGGCATGTGAGAATTGAACCAAAATCTCCTGGATCCTGGGCCAATGCTCAACGGTTGAGCCACATCCATCCGGGCTAAAGATCTTTTATAAGAGTTTATTTGAGTCAAACTGGGAACATATGCCAGGGAGCAAGATCTCAAATGCTCCTCATTTCACTATTTTGATGTTTTTTCTAGACACTCACCGTTTGTTTACTCATTGTCCTCTTTCCTTAAATGTGATGCCTTGAGCTGTAGAAATGATTGCAGGGAGATTTGAACTGAGCAGAGAAGTGTGGGCTATCATCTCCCCTATTGAGAATCTCTAACACTGAAATAGAAAAGTTTCCATGATCTTTTTGGGCAGTTTTCACACCAATTAATATTGGGCTTGCTATCGTAGTCTTATTTGCTTAAAGAAAAAGAAAAGAAAGGTGTTACATCCCTTAAATTCTTTTTTCTTGGATTTTATAGTCTTTTTTTTTTTTTGTCCCTAATGTATTTACCCCATTAGATTAGACTTTGATAGATTTATGTCAGTGGTTGAAACCTGTTAATGTCTTTTAAAATTTTGATTCTATAGTTCCTTGTAGTTCCAAAAAACGTTGATTCTGCTCCTGTGGGTCAGGCACTTGGTTGGGTCTTGGGCATGTAGAATAAAGGAATGGTCCCTACTGTCTGGATTAGCTACTCATTTTAACTTTGTCACCTGAAGATTTGTCTTTAATTTCTCATCATGTCATTAGTAAAGACTTTGAAAGGGGAGAAAGAGGGCCAGGTACAAAGCTCTGCACCAGGTCTCACTGTAGTCCAGTGATGTGTTGCTAGAGGTGTATTTTTATTTAGACTTTCAGAATTTTAGGGGCGTTTTCAGACTATGCTTGCCTACAGTCTTCTTTCCCCTTGTGTGAGAAACAGTTATTAATGTAATGTTGTACATATTAATGATAATGGAAGCAAAAAACAGCTTAAGACCTGCTGTGGGCTACTATCTACTGGATACAAAACCTTTAGTGAAAATGGTTATTGCAGTATTACAGATCTGCTAGCTTTTCTGCCCTAGCTACATTAGTCTTGCCCACAGGGGATATCACAAGATGCTTTGTCAAATTCTTGTGGAAGACAAGATACACTGTTTCTGGATTAGGAGGCCGTACAATGTGGTAAAAAGGGGAAAGACTTCGAAGTTACGCTTCAGTTTGAATTTTGGCTGCTTCTTATAGCTATCATTGATTTTGGTTATTCTAATGTTTGTAAGCTGGCTCTTTTTAAAAAAATGGAAGAATAGAACTCATAGGATTTTTATGTGGATTAAATAGAGAGCTGTCATATGTACAGCTCCTAGTACAGTGCCTGGCACGTGTTTGTTTAATAAATGTTTGCTGTTGAATACATAGGTGGTGCTTAATTTGTGTTGTTTTTGTTCATGGTAACTCAGTCAAAAAGGTAATGGAACTTGACATGAATTATTTTGAGAACCCATACTATCTCTGAGGGACAACTACATTTTAAAATTGTTTATATATTATATATATCATGTAATGAGTTTTGGCTGGAATTGGCGTTTCTGCTGGGATTGACATTCTGGAATTTCACTTCCTTTTTGAAAATCGTGACGTTTGCCATGCTTTAGTACTGCTCCCTTTTTGCAGAGCT